GCGAGCTCACCAACGCCGGCGGGGATCCTGACGACGGTGCTGGCCCTTGGGCTAGTGCTCCTCTTCGCCGCCACCACCGGCGGCGGTGCAGACGTGGGTAGCCTCGTCACCGACGCCTTCTTCGACGGCATCAAGCAGTCCCAGAACCAGAACGGCAACTGCGAGGGCCGGGACTTCTACACGCAAAGCGCGTTCCTGAACGCCGCCAACCAGTACTCGGACTTCGCGAGTGGCAGCTCGGAGGACGACGGCAGGCGCGAGATCGCTGCCTTCTTCGCGCACGTCTCGCATGAGACCGGAAGTGAGTCTATCAACTCTGCATATCGTACGTGCCTGTACTCGATTAGAGCAGCGTTATTCTAAACGCTAAACGCTGTTTAGTCATCGTTCAAGGCTAATAAACAGGCAAAACAACCGTTTAAACGAGATAAACAGCGAATTAACCAGAAACAGCGTACCACGGTATAGCGTTTAAATGATGTGTAGACGGGTTAAATGACCGCTTAAGCGAACAGTGGCTAAAGTAATTTCAAACCTCCAACTTATATAAAAGTTCAATTTTCAAACCTCAATCATAAGACAAACTATTGGATGTCCTCTAATGGTTGAAACCAGTCAAATTTGGGTCATGTTTGATACTAGTTACTAGTTGGATCTAAAAATTAGCCCAAGTTAGTTATAATTTGCTAACAGCTAGTTGAAAACTTGGCTAAGTTCATCTCTTAGCCCTTTTGTTTGGATGCACTAGAGCTATTTTTAGCTAGCTAGCAATTAGTCATTGTATCCAAACAGCCCTTTGATCATGTAACAGATCTTGAATTGTGGTTTTTTTATTTTCTTCTAATAAACTTAGGAACACATACAAGAAAAATGATAATAGTAGCCCTCCCATTAACTAATTTATGAATTTCATAGTAATAGAAATCCATGTCCTACCGAGATAGAATTTCGAACTTGCTATCCTCTTGCCTAGGCAAAGATTGACCTCTGTAGAATAGTACTACTAACTAATACTAATATAAAGATATTAATACTAATATATAGATATATACAAATAGATATGTAGAAATAGAAACGAACTAATATATAGATAATCGAAAAAACTATTCAACTTGGGTTAGTTAATCTCTAAGAAATTATTAACTAATTTATTTTAAATTAGAAAAATATGGAACTAGTACTAATTTTTTAGGAAAATGTTATCTATTCGTTGATGGTTTATTTAAAGTTATTTAGAACTTATTTACTTATTTATGTTCTTTTTTGTTTTATTGCTCTTAGTCATGCTTATTATTTATTTAAATTAGCATTTCGTATTGTATCTAACCTGGAGAGCAACCTAGAGGACCTGACAGTCTTCAAGTACATGGAAAGACACAGAAGACAGCACACCAACCTCATAGATGCCATGCTTCACCATATGTGTCGCTTTACTTTATGTGGAATGATCGGTTAGCTTATAGTTTCAAACAATAAATGCCTCAAACATGTAGTACCATGCAATTAGATCAACATACGATAATTTTAAATAATAACTGACATGACTAGATGCAATGAAACACTAAGAACATGGACAAATAATGAATACGAGTAAAAACAATAAATCAAACAGGTATATATATATATATATTAAAAATGTACCAGTTTCGTATATTTCTAATTTAATATAAATTACTTATGATTTTTATAGATTAACTGTATTTTATTTTTTTAACAAAGTCACCTTTGAAGCCAGCTGGAAGATCAAATTTGTTTTCTTTTACGGATTGAAGGATGTACAATACGTACTGTCATGCATGTTCAAGATCGAAAAACGAAATTTAACCATTATTAATTCACATGCATGGCTTATATATAATAAACGAACCGACAGGCATGTGCTACATCAGGGAGATGGACGGGCAGGGCGTGGACGACTTCTGCGACATGAACTATCCGCAGCTTCATCTCCTAGGATGATATGTCTTTAGTCCTGGATTGGCAGTCGCGGTTAGAAAACCGGGACTAGATGGGGTTTTCCAACCAGGATTGCAACCCAGTCATGCAGCAGTGTAAACCAAATCCTCACATAAATACACCACAAAAGCAGAGGAACAAACACCTGCACCTCGTGCGGACACACATAAGCATAGAAGATGGGCCTGTTCACCTGAGGAAGATGCCCCACACGACAGACTACAGAGGAAGCTCAGATGCACTATACCGGCGTCGTGCACACATAAGCAGAGTATAATGTAAGTACAAGACCATGCTTCGACGCTGACATAGTGACATCTATTTCAGAGACACGGCCCCTCCTAAAGCAACCACGAACACGAGAGGCAAGATGGAAAACCACAGCATGGCCTTGCCAACGACGGCGCGCCAGTCGTCGTGATCGCGCGGCCTCAGCCAGTAACCGAAGGACGCCTCGACGAGCCCAAAGGTGGCTACGGCTACGAGGCTGCCGTAGAACAGGAGCACGGGCGCACTACCATGCAGGCGGAGCAAGATGCCCCCGGGAACCTTGAAGATGAGGAGTGACAGCGCTGCCGCGGCTAGGGCGACGCCGCACTCAGACATCAGCTCCGTCAGTCTGACCGCCGGGATCGCCATTTCTTTGTTGTGTGATTCGGTGCGTGTGGTGTGTAAGATGTTTGTCTCTGTAGCTTGGATCGAGTGCGGTAAAAGACCCTGCATGCTGTCGCTATATAAAAGCCAGCAATCGAGAGCCGCCACAGCCCCTCCTCTCGTATCCCAGTGGGTGGTGACCGGGTACCCGAGAGCTTACCGTGCCCCCGGCCGGCCGGGGTGATGAACCATGCATTGAGTCGCTGCTGATCCTGTACATACCGGGTACCCGGGACTCAGGGGCGGAGCCAGGAATAAAAAGCAAGTAAAAGATCGACCTTGCTGCTGACCTGTACATGCCGGGTACCCGGGTAGGCTAGGAGGCCGGGTACCCGGCTTGCGGCTTTGGATCTAGCTTGCTGACCATAGAATACAAGTGTTGTTGAATAGTAAGTAAATTATACTACTGGAAACGCAACCACCCGGCGGCGTGGCACGGGTACCCGGGACTCAAAATTTCCTCCATCCCAAATCACAAGCCATTCTAACTTTTTGGAGAGTCAAAATATTTTAAATTTGACTAAATTTATATAATAAAATAATAATATTTATGATACTAAATAATTATCATTGAATTCTTTATTAATTATATTTTCATAGTGCTGCTAATCATGCCCTAAAATTTCTTGGACGAAACTGAAAATGCACTCTAAGGAAATTTGAAGGTAACTATTTTTTTAGTTCACATACATACGAACACAACAGCATCAAAGGCTCAAAGCGGTCAAGCTCAGAGCCTAACGACGACTGAATCTTGCTTCACTAGTAGTCTGCGCAACAACATTGCCACCTAATAAGTTAGAGCAACTCCAACCATGGTCCCACTTGAGCCACATTGCTAAATATTGGTGCCCCGGCCAAAAACATAGCTCCAACAAGACCCTTAGTAGAGCACCCAAATTTAGGTGGGCACCCAAATTCTCCTTCCGACACCCATTTCTTGGGTCTCTAGGCCAAGCCCCCCAAACGCCGGTTTCTTGTGTTGGTGTGTGCACCTTCTCCCAACCCTTCCCTGCCCGCACGACCACGACTCACATGCGCGAACCCTGGCAGCGCAACTCCCTCCCATGGTGGCGCTACTCCCTCCACCTGAGGGCGCAACTGCTTACTCTGTCCGTCGGCGGCGCTGTTCCGCCCCGGCGTGGCGGCATGACTCCCTCCCCACGCAACGAGGTGACTCCCTCTCCTCCCTCGAACGGCGGCGCTGCTCCCTCGAGGACACGACCCCTCCCCGTGCGACGAGGCGACTCCCTCCCCTCCCCCGAACAGCACGACGAGGCGACTCGCCCCACGACGGCGCGACAACGACTCTCTCCGCTCCCCGTGATGGCACAAGGCGCGACTCCCGAAGCGCCCGCCGGGTCCAGGTGTTTTGGCCGAGTTAGTGGATGAGAACCGGGTCCCACATGTCATTCTCAGTTTGACTGAATTTGGGGGCTTTATTTTGAGAGCCACTGCTAGAGTACAATCCATGAAATAGAGCCCTCAAGATGGGAGGAGCCCCAAATCTAAAGTAGAAGTCATGTTTCAAGGGCCATTAATTGCTGGGGTTGCTCTTAACCGCTCCTTCAACACCGTACAAGGCCGAAATTACCTCAGCTTAAAAAAAGGGACAAGAATACGGTAGTCAAGTACTCACTTTGTCTCAAATTATATGTCACTCCAACTTTCTTGAGAGACAAAGCATCTAAAGTTTGACTAAAATTATAGAAAATATTATACAGTATTATAGAGATTTATGACATCAAATAGGTATACTATAAAAATATAATTAATAAAGAATTCAATGATAATTATTTGATATTATAAATGCTATTATTTTATTATATAAATTTAGTAAAATTTGAAATATTTTGACTCTCCAAAAAATTAGAATAACGTGTGATTTGCGACGGAGGAAATTACGAGTCCCGGGTACCCGTGCCATGCCGCCGGGTGGTTGCGTTTCCAGTAGTATAATTTACGTACTATTCAACAACACTTGTATCCTATGGTCAGCAAGCTAGATCCAAAACAGCAAGCCGGGTACCCGGCCTCCTAGCCTACCCGGGTACCCGACATGTACAGGTCAGCAGCAAGGTCGATCTTTCCTTCCATTTCCACTTCCACTTCCTCAAGTACAGAAATTATCAGTCCCCTGTCCCGGGTACCCGGTATGTACAGGGTCAGCAGCGACTCGATGCATGGTTCATCACCCCGGCCGGCCGGGGGCACGGTAAGCTCTCGGGTACCCGGTCACCACCCACTGGGATACGAGAGGAGGGGCTGTGGCGGCTCTCGATTGCTGGCTTTTATATAGCGACAGCATGCAGGGTCTTTTACCGCACTCGATCCAAGCTACAGAGACAAACATCTTACACACCACACGCACCGAATCACACAACAAAGAAATGGCGATCCCGGCGGTCAGACTGACGGAGCTGATGTCTGAGGCGAGCGAAAACGCGGCGAAGCTGCCGGTGGCATTAATCTCGTGCGGCGTCGCCCTAGCCGCGGCAGCGCTGTCACTCCTCATCTTCAAGGTTCCCGGGGGCATCTTGCTCCGCCTGCATGGTAGTGCGCCCGTGCTCCTGTTCTACGGCAGCCTCGTAGCCGTAGCCACCTTTGGGCTCGTCGAGGCGTCCTTCGGTTACTGGCTGAGGCCGCGCGATCACGACGACTGGCGCGCCGTCGTTGGCAAGGCCATGCTGTGGTTTTCCATCTTGCCTCTCGTGTTCGTGGTTGCTTTAGGAGGGGCCGTGTCTCTGAAATAGATGTCACTATGTCAGCGTCGAAGCATGGTCTTGTACTTACATTATACTCTGCTTATGTGTGCACGACGCCGGTATAGTGCATCTGAGCTTCCTCTGTAGTCTGTCGTGTGTGGCATCTTCCTCAGGTGAACAGGCCCATCTTCTATGCTTATGTGTGTCCGCACGAGGTGCAGGTGTTTGTTCCTCTGCTTTTGTGGTGTATTTATGTGAGGATTTGGTTTACACTACTACAGGATTGGGTAGCTATTTCGGTTGAAAACCCCCCTCTAGTCCCGGTTTTCCAACCGGGACTGCTAATTCAAGACTAAAGGCATGTCGTCCTGGGAGATGAATGGCGCCCGGTGGCCGGTTTTATAAGCGTGGGCAACGGGGTGGTAGGTGGGATGAGTGGTGATCAATCGGCGTGGTAGGTGGGAGCAGTGGTGGTAGGTGGGGGACTTTTAGTCTCGGTTTGTAACACAAACCGAGATTAAAATATCTTTAGTCCCGGTTTATAGTTCAAACCGGGACTAAAGGGGCTTTTTTTGTTTCTGTTTATTATTCCTACATAATGCCTTGTGTTTTTATTTGTCTGATTTTTTTATTTGCATATGCAATTCAATTCTACACGAGTTAAATTTCAATCCATACAAACATAATTATAATACCATACCAATAAACCTAATGAACATAATTAACTTGCATACAAACATAATTAAAATACACATATAAATAAACCAAATTAAACATAACCGGTCGAATAAACCTAATTAAACATAACAGTATGAATAAACCTAACTAACACATAGATCCTAACCGGCTGCAACCCTAGCCTGTCTCCACTGTCAGTAGTGTATGTCTCAAATTGAATAACCATAATCATTGTCTATGTAATGCAAGGTCCGCACTAAAACACTCTCCATTGCCTCACAACGCCGAGGACATAGCATCCCATAGATGTAGCCTACTGACGGACTATTGATGGCCTGGTTTTGCCTAAATCTCACGCAATACTGGATGTCAGTTGTTGTCCTCTGGCCCATCGCTTCCACGAAGTTCCAGGCATACCCCAGTCGCTTAATAGCTTGCGTGAGAATGGGCTGCAAGCCACATGTAGCATAGGTGAAATCATAGAGTAAAACCTACAATCGGACAAACAAAAAATATCAGGAAGCGCTCATATAATAATAAGGATATAAACATTACTCTCATATCATACACGACGTACCACATCCATTTGGTTGAATGTCGCATGCCTCTCGCTTACTCGCGGCACATCCAGACTATGCTGACGTAAAGCTTCTATCTTCAAGGACGAGAAATCAGGCATACGGTAGCCAATTCGCTCAATGGCCTGCAAAGAAAGCAGCACGACATCAATCTGAGCGCCTATCTTGGTCGGCGACTGTCGTCCAGTCCGCACGATGTCCTGACGCACCTCATTATTATACCTAATGGGGATGTCAAAGGCGAGACTGCACGTCCATAACTCGTCTCCTTCATTATTCACGACCTCACTTGTCATCGTCTCGAAGATTAAAAGCTCTAGTTTGATTTTGGTGAATTGATGAAACCCTAAGTGCTAACCTAGTTTATCAAAGTGATTATGAGATGGGTAGCACTACTCTAAGTGGTGAAGCAATTGAAGATCATGACTTGATGATGGTGATGCCATGATGATGATCAAGTGCTTGGACTTGGAAAAGAAGAAAGAAAAAAAACGCTCAAGGCAAAGGTGAAATTGATAGGAGCTTTTCGGTTTAGTGATCGAGACACTTAGCGAGTGTGATCACATTTAGGATCGATAGCCATACTATTAAGAGGGGTGAAACTCGTATTGAAATGCGGTTATCAAAGTGCCACTAGATGTTCTAACTCATTCCATATACATTTAGGATCTAGTGGAGTGCTAACACCCTTAAAAACATTTGTGAAAATATGCTAACACATGTGCACAAGGTGATACACTTGGTGATTGGCACATTTGAGCAAGGGTAAAGAAGATAGAGTTGAAAAGGAGTTGATTGCGCTGGTCACGGGGTGATCGGACGCGTCCGACATGCGTACCGGACGTGTCCGGTATTGTCTCAGGCGGCAGTGTTTCTGATGTGACCGGATGCGTCTGATATCGATATCGAACGTGTCCGGTATTCTGGCCAGGCGCGGGCAGAGTTGTCAAGGTGACCGAACTCTGGCTCAGTGGAGTGACCGGATGTTGACGAGTTACTGTTCAGCGTCAGGTCAGTGTGATATAGCCCAAAGCAGGATTGCAGAGAGCGACCCGACGCGTCCGGTGTGAACCAGCAAGTCTCGGGTTTTCAGCGCAATAATTGATTGGACGCTGAGAGCGTCCAGTTCGGTGTGACTGGACGTGTCCGGTCGGCCCAGAGCCGGTTTGGGAGCTCTCTGGACTCGACCGGACGCTGCGTCTCCCGCGCCGGCCCGGTGTGATCGGATGCGTCTGGTCGGCCCAGAGCGGCTCTGGGAGCTCTTTGGATTCGACCGGACGCTGCGTCTCCCGCGTCCGGTCGTTTTCTAACATCACGTCCGATCACGCAGTATTGCCGTTGGGCGCGAATGGTAAACAATTTGAAAGGGACACGTGGCGGTCAGGCTATGACTGGACGCACCAACCGGACGAGTCCGGTCACCACACCGGACGTGTCCGGTGCACATGACCTGCGCGTCCGGTCGTCCTGCAGTCAGTCCAATAATTGAGCCAACGACTCTATTGTTTGGGGATGTCTATAAATATCATTTGGCCAGCTCTAGCTCTCTCTATTGGCCATTTGTATTGACATAGCAACTTTGTGAGCTTAGCCAAAGCCCTCCCACTCATCTCCATCATTGATTTATCATCTTTGTGAGATTGGGAGAGAATCCAAGTGCATTGCTTGAGTGTTTGTATCTAGAGGCACTTGGTGTTCGTGTTTTGCTGTGGGATTCTCTTGTTACTCTTGGTGGTTGCCGCTACCTAGATGGCTTGGTGTAGCGAGGATCGTTGAGCGGAGGTTGGTGATTGTCTTTGACTCCGATCATGGTGACTGTGAGGGGTTCTTGACCTTTCCCCGGCGGAGAGCCAAAAGGTACTCTAGTGGATTGCTCGTGGCTTGTGTGATTCTCATCTTGTGTTGGTTGTGTGGCATCCTATTGAGGGTTTGGCGTGTGATGCCAATTAGCGTGTGAACCTCCAAGTGAGTGAATCGCCACAACGACGACTAGCTTGCCGGCAAGCAAGTGAACCTCGGTAAAAAATCATTGTGTCATCATTTGATTCCAAGGTGATTGGTCTTCATTGGTATTCATTCTTGTGATTGATTGGTTCATTCCTCGACTCGGCGGTATAACCATCTTGCTCTCTCTCTCTTTACATTACTGCAAACTATTTGTCAAGCTCTTTAGTGTAGCTAGTCGTGAGAGCTTATTAGTTTAGTCAGTGTGGCTCTTTAGTTAACCTTTGAGAGCACACTAACTTAATGTAGTGACATAGCCATGATGTGGTAGGTGGCTTGCATTTTTAGTAGGCTAGAGCAACCATCGCTTTGCCTCATATTTGTCTAATCGGTTTGCCAAGTGTTGTTGTAGAAATTTTTTATAGACTATTCACCCCCCTCTAGCCATTATGACCTTTCAAAGATGTCCCACACCCCGAGCAGCCATAGTGCTGCTTCCAGCCACTTGACTGGTTTTATAGTTTGTGACATATGCAACAATCATGTTATGAATGAATGTATATATGCAAAAATTATATTAGCACACAAAACTTAAAATATTCCGTACTATTGATGGGTCCGGGTGACGCGGAACGGCCCTATCTGGCGATGGTGCGAATGGAAGATCGCCAGGGTGGAAAATTGGTTCCTGTGGCTAGGGAAGTCCGCCGCCATTCATCATAACTAAAAAACTAAAAAAACACCCCAATAAATATAGAATCCCCATATAAATATACCATGTAGCAATATATACTAGAGAAACATATAAAAAATAAATCATCAATATATATATGCATGCCAATTAAACTTAAACATTTTGCAACCATTTTGCACCCTACTCTTGTTGGGACAAATTTTTTTTAACGATTATTAACTCTCATCAGGAACAAATGTTGCTAACAAAGATCTAGAAAACTATAAGTGTTTAATAATGGTTGGAAGAAGATTAGAAGATGAAGTTGCTAACCTTTAGAAAGTAACAATGGATAGAAGAAGATGCTAACCTTTACAATAATGGTTGGAAGAACATGCTTAACGACAGCCGGCAAGAACTGCTCTTGCTCCCCCAAGCAAGAACATATGCGCAAATTTTGAATTGGATTGCCTCGGGCTGGTGGCTGGGACTGAGGAAGCGGCCAGGGTATATAGTGGGGACCTTTAGTCCCGGTTGATGGACCCGATCGGGACTAAAGGGTGCACCTCTAGTCCCGGTTGAAGCCACCACCCGGAATAAAGGCTAAGCGGGACTTTTAGTCCCTGTTGGAACCACCAACCGGGACTAGAGGATGACCTTTAGTCCCGGTTTGAGCCACAGACCGGGACTAAAAGTCCCCTCCTGCAAAAGCCTGTGGCTCTAGCCGTTGGGCAGGGGACTTTAGTCCCAGTTGGTGGCTCCGAACTAATCCTTTCTTTAGTCCCGGGCCCAAAAATAGTCGGGACTAAAGCCTAAAATCACAAATCTATTCTCTACTAGTGTTATTATGTGTGATATTGTTTGTCTCGTGTAAACGGTCCTTTCATGCGTATGAGAGTATGTAGGCGCTAATGACAATGTTGTCAGCCTAGCAACGATGACAAAATCGGCCAAGGTCGGCTTAGGTACTGCGCTAATGACAATGTTTGGCATGGCTTCTCCATTCGCTCATGAAACCGTTTGGAGCCATTTTGTGCCACACGGCGTAAAACCAAATGGCTTCACCCAAGGAGTCCATCAAATCGTGCTCTCACAATGGATATATGGAGGGTGAAGCCAGAAATAGTGGATTCACCCGGCTTAAACCTCGCCCTGATGGGCCCTATGTGGGGTTA